TTCTGTCAGTTAGCATTGAGATTGAGTGCTCGGTTTTGTGCGAGTGAGGTAAGTAAATTATGGTAAAGCCCTTCGATTTTAAAGCATGTTTTTAATTGTTTTTGAGATGGTGGCAAGGTTTAAATTGATTTTAAATCAATTTTATCAGTATTTGGGTGTGATTAAACTGAAATGGAAATTGTGATGGTTTTATGAGAATTTCCTTGTTTTTCTGAAATTGAGCATGATTGGAATGAAAATGAGGATTTTATTGATTTTCTGGAAATGAGCATGATTGAGAAATGAAAATGAGAATTTCATTGTTTTTCTGGAATAAAGCATGCCTATTTGGGAATTGACGGAACTGTTTTGATGAACTGAGAGTTTGCAAATTCTGAGTTTTCTGTTAAATCCATGGTCACATGGAAATTTTCTTGTTTGTTTATGAGATTTGAGATTGATTGTGAATTATGGATTTTTGGAAATCCTGCATGGTTTTGTCTCGGATATAGTCATGATTACTGACGCCCGCTAGTAGGAGCTGTAAACGCTAGCACATGTCGACATGTATTTTTGTGGAACCGGTTCAACCTGCCTATGGGGTTAAACACTGGCACTATTACTGACGCCTGCCAGTGGGAGTTGTAAACGCTGGCACTATTACTGACGCTTACCAGTGGGAGTTTGTAAACACTGGTACCATTACTAACGCCTGCCAGTGGGAGTTTGTAAACACTGGCCATGACTTATAGATGAGACTACTGAACTGAGTTTTCTTCTGCATGTAACGGTTTGTTATGAAACGTTTTGTTATTGAACTGAATCTGATTTCCGCATTAATGGTTTATCATTAAAAGTCTATTACGCTTACATGGTTTATCTGGCATGCTTCAAAGTTTTACCCAAGGGCTATCCATATTTACTTACTGAGTTTATCTCATAGTTTTCCTTGTCCCCCATTTCAGGAAGCGAAACCGAGGACGGGGAAATCAAGGGGAGTGACGAGTTAGAAGGCTAGCCATTTCGAGATTGACATAGATTTAGAATCCTGTAAGCTAGAGTGTATTTGGAGATTTTATGATATCAGAGCAGATTGTAAAAATTTTATCTTGAGATTTTGTGGTATCGGATTGTGATTTGAATAAGTTCCGAGCCTTGTGCACTTGTGGGACCTGTCTCACGGGTGCACGGCGTCTGCCACGCCCTGGATTTGGGTTCTGGGGCGTGACATTTATACTAATGATTTGATTTTTTTCTTTGAAAAGGTTACCTAATTTGGTGAAGAATGGGGTAGCATTATGGAGGTAATGAACTTCATTACCTTAATTAATATACATATTGTTTTAATTTACTCATAAACATAGTTTTTCATTATTTTGGATTTATTTTGCAGGTTTTAGTTAATATGATTTCATTTGTGATTCTTTTATTTATTTTACACTATATTTTAGTAGGATTCTTTTAGTAAATGTAAAGTATATTTTATTAATAAATAATTATAATCATAATTAAAAAATCATTAAAGATTTAAAAATTAAATAAATAACAATTATATAGAATTCATAATATTAATATCGAATTATTTTAGTACTAAATGTTTTTATAATATTTATTATGTATATTCAAATTTATTAAATAATTTTTTTTTTCAAATCTAGATATATATTTTGGTCAATCTACTTGAACGAAATAACTTGGAAATTTCCGCTAATTTCACCCGCATAAAATTTCTGCCAAAATTTTAAAAATTTCTGCTAAAATTTTAAAAATTTCTGCCAATATATTTAGGTCAATCTACTTGATCGAAATAAATTGGAAATTTCCGCCAATTTCACACATGAAATTTCCACCAAAAATTTAAAAATCTCTGCCAATATATTTTGGTCAATAATATTGACTGAAATACATCTCAAAAATTCCAACACATTTTGAAAATTTTGGCCATATATTTCAGTCATTTTACTTGATCGTGATTGGGCTAGGATAAGTGTTTTTGTGCTCTTATTTTAGTTAGTTATTAACCATGAAAAAATATTTCGAATACCGAAAATAGCCCTCCATTTAATTTGGTCAAGTATATTGATCGAAATGTTTACTTAAAATATTATTATTTATTTCAATCAAATTACTTGTCTGAATGTACGTAGTTATTTAATGATTTCCCCACTCACATCTTCGGTCAGTTATATTAACCGAATTGATGAGTTCTTTTGGTTAAGATGAAAGTTTGTTCGAAATACTATTTCGTATAGAGGTTATTGGGCCATATATTTCGATTAGTGGTTTTGATCGAAGTATAATTTATTTGGTCATATAGGGCACTATTTCGGTCAATACGATTGACCAAAATGTACCCTAAATCTAGTAGTGTAATAATCAAACAAGACAATAATATACTTAAAGAGTATAAAAATAAGACAAGATCAATTTTGAAAAAGGTTAGATAATAGAACTTTAAAATAAAAAATCATTCATTTTCCATGTCATTGTCAAAATCAACTTATTATATACAATCTAGACTTCCATATTAGAAAATACATCATAGAATCAATATCAAGATTTTATTCTCCTATATAAACTTGCTTCAATATAGAAAAAAAAAAAAAACCATAGGCACACTTGCAGAAGCAGAATCAAGCAAAGAAAAAAAAATTGCAACATGCTTTTTGCTTCAACACGGAAAAAAAAAAAAATAAAAGCGCCCTTGCAAAAGCAAAACTAAGCAAAGAAACAAATAATTGTAATATAAAC